GCCGAGCGCAGGGTCCCGTTCACCACGCTGGCCACGTCGGCCGAGCTGTGCACCAGGTGGAAGTTCTTCCCGCCGCACTCTGGTGCCGGAGAAGGGAGGAAAAAGGGGCAAGTGAGGAGCTGTCAGGGCTGTGCCGCCTCCGAAAAGCCCAAGCTACGGCCAGGTGCCCTGCAAGGGGCTCAGCCAGTGCTCGCTCTGCCTGGCCCACGGCTCCTCAGGGAACAGGGGGGTGCCATGATCCCGGGGGGCAAAACCCTGGAGCGCCAGGAGCTGGAGCAACGACACAGAACTGATGGAAAAGGGACTCACCCCAGTTCCCAAGCGTAGCACTGAGGGTCTGCAATCCTGGAGGGTCAGCTCCTCCCACCCAAGTGCCACCCTCCCACCATAAAAGCCCATCCCGTGCCGGGGGGAGCCGCTGCCATAAGGTCCCCCAAACACCCAGCGCACCCAGACGAGGGGTGGACAGGGCGTGATTTACTGTCCCCTGCTCTCTGGAGAGGAATCCTGGCCAACACTTCAGTCTCTACCCGAGCAGGGGAACACCACACCCCTGCACAGCCTCTCCCCAAAAAGGGGGTGTAAGAGGCAGCGGTTACCTCCAGCCAGGCGAGGGAAATTGCGGTAGCGATCCAGGTTTTCGGATACCTGCTTCCAGAGACGCTTGAAAGTCCTGGAAGAGCAACAAGGAGCTGGTTAGTGAACTCTTGCCATTGCACGGGAGTGGCACTTGGAAAAGGCACCTGTGAGGGACATGCCCAGGCAAAGGGGACACCCCAAACCCTTGTGTCCATCCCCAAAAGAAGCAACACCCTGCCAGTGGAAGAGCAGACACTGGCTGAGAATGGGACCCTGGGCAGCAAAGCAGTGGCCCTACACCCCCTCGTTTTAGAGGTAAGGAACTGTTGCAGCAGCACAGGGAAGGCACAGGAGCGAGCGCCCAGCAGAAGTTCCTGTTCTCCTTCCCCCCTCCCTTCCTTTCGGTCCTTACTGTGACAAACCCCTTGGCTGCAAAACAATAAAAATGCTAATAAACCTCCCACCCGTAGGCACAGCCGCTAATACTAATTTATGAGCCTTCCCACCTTTAAAGCACAGTGCTCATCAGACCATGTCCTTCGCCGCCGGAGCGGGGCTCCCCGCGTTTAACAGCCCGTTACGGGCTGCCAGGGCCTTCGGCGTCGCTAACAGACCCCGAGGTGCGGGCAGAGCACGGGTTTGCAAATCTAGCCGGAGCTGCCATCACCCTGCCCGTGCAGCGCAGCTCGTTAAGCCAAATCGCAGCACCCCTGGGAGACAGGGCAGCGGCACGTGCAACCTCATCTATTCTCCATGCCTTGAGTTTAGCCACAGAAACTCCCTGCTATTAAACAACCTCCCTCTCGCAAGAAAACCTCGTTAAGAGATTTTTTCCACCAGTTTTAAAGCTCTACCTTAATTGCATCGTCTGAGGATGGCCTTGTCTGCCTGCTACCCTACCCGAGGCGTTCACGGGACCAGCAGACGAGCACCCTGCACGGTCTCAGCCCCTCTCCCCCTCCCCTCCCCTACGTACGGCACACTGCCGGTGAAATTGAGCCCGCAGAAGTGCTCGGAGCCGGTGACGGCGTCTCCAAACATGGGACCGTCCGCCGGCACGAACTGCACGACGTTCGGAGGGAGCCCGGCTTCGAGGAGGATCTTGTAGACGGCGTAGCTGGCGAGCAGGGCAGTGTCGCTGGGCTTCCACAGCACCACGTTTCCCTGCGGGAGAGGAGAAAGTCAGCAGGCGAGGCCAGGCTTCAGCCGGAACGCAGCCATGCAATGCTTCAACACCCTGGCCAAACTCCGTCCCCCTGCCCGCAGGGACGGAGCAACGGCACCTCTGGGGGATTCACCCCTGTCATGTACCCCGAGCTGTGGGTCTGAACAGGACTGCGGGTGCCCCAGGCACAAAATCCCTCCCTTTTCACACCCTCCCTTGCCAGGGATGCAGAATTTTGCCTTCCCCAAGCGGAGCCACAAAACAGGGACCTGTTTTACATCTCGGGAAACGGGACAGCACCGCTAACAAACGAGCTTACGTCACCGCGCAAGACCGTGTGGCTGTTTGTGCCAGCCAAAGCAATGGAATAAAACCTCATGCCTGGAGTAACTGTGCACCAACAGCACGACCGGCTGGCAAACACGGTGCTGAAACGCCGGCACCCCACCCCTTTGGCTCCTCGCCACCGTCCTCCCTTTGGCGACGGGCCCGGTGACCTCCCCTGTGCCACTGTCACGCTGCTTGGCCACCACTGCACGTGACAGTGCAACGGGGTCACAGCCCCAGCGGGGCCGGAGGGGGAATTTTGGACTTTGTCTTAACCAGGCACCTGCTTTCCAGGGACTTGGGGTGCAGGCAAAGCTCCTTCCTGAACCCCCAGGAACCTCCCACACCCACACACTGCAAAAAATCTCCAAGCAACTGGAAAATCCAGCTCGGGCCACGGCTGGAGACAAGACAGATATCCCGGGAGTCTGGGTACCGGTGCAGTGCGGCAACCACTCCATTCCCAAGGAAATCCCCGCTCCTGACGCTGCAACGGCATTGCCCACATCGATCTCTCGAGCTATTTAGGCAAGAGCAATGTTTAATCCCCTGGGAAGGGCACTGTGGTGACTAAAACACTGGGGCTCTAATTAATATCCACTTATTAAGCACCATTTTCTCCTAAATTTAATTCCAGGTACCGCCTGCTGCCGAGCTGTTCGAGCCCTGCTCCTTATTGCCCCAGGGAAGCAGGGATTTCATCCCGCTGCAGCAGCCCGACAGGAGTTTATCGTCACGCTCGAGCAGGGAGAGGCGGGGGCGCTGTGACGGCGCTTGCGCGGTCCGGCACCCAAACCAGTTCATCCCGACCCGCCAGCACGGGCTTGCCCCATCCCATTCCAGCTCGTCCACTCTGGGATGAGTTATCACCAAACGAACCTTCCTCAAATCCGGGGGTGGGAGGAATGCATCTCCCTGCCCCAAAAAACTCCCTGCTCCGCGGTAGCTTCCCCCTCCCCGCTCCTCCCCTGCAGAAGTGACGGGTTCAAATGCTTAAACGTGACCTCCCCAAGTTCAAAGCTTGGTGTTCTCCCTTATTACAGCCTCTTCCACCTCCAAGACAGGATGCTACTGCTGGAGGGACCATCTCTGGGGCCAGGATGACATCTGAGCCTCATTAACACAGAGCTTAGGACAATTTTGCGGGTTTTCTTTTCCCAGGGTAACAATAAATTAATTAATCCTGGCCCAAATTCATCAGGTTATTACAGCCTCTCCCCAAAACCCACCCTGTTCAAGGGGGGCAGTGGGGTGGGACATGCACAGAAATGCTCTTTACCAATACTTTGACTTTTTGGACCATCTTCCATGTCTGCCAGGATCTCCCACCTCCCTGAAGCCTCATTTCCCAGAGCAAGTACCACGCAGGAAACCAAAACCCAGCTGTATTTCTCACCTCCCCTCCCTCCTGCAGCACCCTGACCTTGTCTCCATCCAAAACCCAGCCTAGGAGGGAAAAGACACCTTCCTTCAGAATAAAAACCCCAAAGAGCAGGTCTGGCCAGTTTTTCCTTCTCCGACGCTTCCCTTCTCACACCTGTTCCACAGAAGCCCAGCCATAGGCCACCTTCTTGTAATTAAGGCCATCTAATTGCAAGACAGCTGATTGGGATCAAGGGGACCAGCAGAAACAAGCCCCCAGGTGTGGCCTGTTGAACGGCACCAGAGAACCAGGGCAGCCAAATGTGCTCCTTGCAGATCCCAGACCAGGCAAACCGCAGCCCTGGTGTGGCTGGGTACCCCTCCCCACCTTCCTCCGGATCATCCTCTCCACCCCTGGCTCTCCTTAACCCCCACCATGGCACTCACCATCAACGCCGGAGCTCCTGCCAGATTGCCACCGATGGCTGTGAAGTTGAAGGGAGAGACGGCTGCCACGAAACCCTGCGGATGGGAGAGGGAGCGGTGGGTGTCCCCTCTCACCGCGGCGTGATGCCACGGCCTGGGGCACAGACGGGAGCCGCAGCAGCAGGGGGACAGCCCCTCACCTCCAGCCCTCGGTAGACCATGCTGTTGGTGCTGACGTCCACGCTGATGGGCTGGCTGTTCTCCAGCTCCAGGGCGTACTTGGCATTGAATCGGAAGAAGTCGATCAGCTCCGCGGCAGCATCGATTTCCGCCTGGATCACCGTTTTACCCTGCCGGGAGAGTTTGCATCCAATAAAAGCGCTAAAGGGAGGGGAATGCAGCAGCCGCGAGCCGCAGCAGCGTGACACGGCACATCCGGATGCGGTTTGTGCGTCGTCTCTCTCAGGCAGACCGCGTGCTCGCTTCCCAAAGAAGGGCTCTCCTGCGAGCCCCTATCCCACCACGTCTCCTTCGCACCGAGCAGCAGCAAACGCAGCCCGTGCCTGTGCCTTGGGACAGCACATCCATCCATGCTCCCCCCAGCTCTTTAGTCCCTCCCCTGGGAAAGCCAGGGCTGATACTGCAGTCCACCACGTCAGCTGACCCTGTTCCCATGAAGCTTGACTCTCAGCTTCACCTCCCTTCTTTCTCAGGCACTTCTAACATCACAGCCATTCCCATTGTCAACAAAGAACTTGGCAGCTCTTCCTGCCCTGCTTCCCTGGCTCCTCACATTCCTTCCTGTTCCCTCCAGCTATGTGGTGAATCCCACATCCCCCTTACCTGCCCAACCATGGTTTTGGCCAGCACTTCTGCTCGCCTCGGGCCGCTCAGCATGTCAGCTGCCTTCAGGAAGATCTGGGCTCGGTCCTGGACAGGTTTCAGGTCCCATTCCTTCCTTGCTGCCAAGGCAGCGTTAATGGCTTTGTTAATGAGCTCCTGTGGAAGAAAAGGGGAGAGGCAGCAAGGAGGAACCCACCACCTCCCATCAACAGGATGGAGGGGAAGGCCAGGCGCCACCCACCCCCAGGCACAAACCCACTTTCCCATCGCAACCCCAAATTTGTAGTTTCTAGAACCGCTTTGCTCCAGGTCCCCTGGGACTTGGAAAGCCAACACTCGCCCCTGGAGCCTCCTCGCCCAGAATGGGAGCAGCGGTTTGCATTTCATCCGGACTTCTCACCAGCAATCTCAAAGCTCATTGCACCGCAAGCCTCAAACGGCTGCGAGACAAGGCTGCTAAACCCAGAGAAGGCCTGCTGCTTCCCCCACCCCAAAAAAGAATGAAAGGAAGTGGGAGGGCAGCGAGATGCACTCACCTTGTCGGCATAGCAGTACTTGGCCACTTTGTGTGCATGATTAAATGGCTGAAAAGAGAAGAAAATCCTCCGTGGTCACCAGTCCAACAGAGCTCTCTCCGGCCGGGGACATTCCCCTGCTCTGTTCTCACTCCTTCAAGCTCTCCCCCAGACTCACCGACAGCTGGTACCGCACTGTGGGCGTCCACACCTCCTCTCCCCCGATCACGCAGGGGATGGCTTCTGTCTTGCCCTTCAGGTCGGCGAGGGCCTGAGCGAGAGGAAGAGGAGAACACCGCGGTGGGAGCCGTGCCCCCCTCCATCCATCCTCCCCACCAGCCCCACGAGCCAAGGGTCCCCTGGGCATGGGGTGCCCGGGGGCTGGAGGGATGGGAGTTACAACCCGGGTCCCTGAAGACCCCCCAAAAGGCCGATGCCCCGCGGTGGTACCTTCTGAAGCGCCGCTCGCTCTGGGCTCCCTGGCTTAAACTCGAGGATCGGCTCGTTGGTCACCTCGATGGCCGAGCGGTGCTGCCATCTCCGCCTGGGAAAGGTGTGAGAGAGAGGCTGAATCCCCTCCCCGGTTCCCTCCGTGCCCCAACCTCCCAGTCACCCGGGTGTCACGCCCCCCCCCGGCCCCCCCCCCCCGCGCCCCCCCAGCCACGGCGCCGCCGCATCACGCCCGCGCTCCATCCCACTGGATGACGACCCCAGAGCCGGGAACCAAGCCCGGACATAGCTCCCACCCGGCAACCCCTTCTCCTTGCTAGGGGAAAGGTGTTGGAAGGGGAATTTCAACATCCCAGCGCCTGGCAAAGTCCGGGG